CAATGATTTAACGCTCAAGAATTTATTCTAATGTACACTTGCAAATGGAACACAATAATGTCAGTCAGACACGGTAGTACTCGTCTGTAATCGGGGGGACTCAGAAGGCTGAGGGAAGAGGATCCCAAGTTCAAGGCCAGACTCAGAAATTTAGTGAAACCCTGAAACCCTCAGTAACCCTGTCTTAAAATGAGAAACAAAAAGGGTTGAGGATGTAGCTTGATGGTAGAACACCCCTGGGTTCAATCCCCAGTGCTTCAGGAGGGGGGGGGGGAAGCAAGCAAAATTATATGCATATACAGTATAATCACCAAAGCAACTCATATGGACAAGAAACAACACAGATGCCCAGCAATTACAGGACAGCCATATAAAGTAAAGAAAGCAGTGTGTACCATGAATTGGAGAGGGGAGAGATTGGACCCAGGAAGCTGCACAAGAAAATCAGGACGTTCCTGATGGAGTACACTGGCACACACCTGTAACCACAGTTACCAAGGAGGCTCAGACCAGAGGATTGCAAGTTCCAAGGTAGGCTGGACAACTTAGTGAGATGAAATCTTTTTAAAAAGGGCTGAGGATGTAGCTTCATGGTAGAAGGCTTGCCTAGCATGGGTAAGACCCTGAGTTTGATTACTATCATGGAAAGTTTTTTTTTTTTCTGAAGAAACCATGTTCCTTATCCCTTTTGTACAATAAGTACTTGATAAATACTGTTTCTTGATTTGATAGACTTTTTCTTACTCTAGTACAGGATCCCATCTGCCAAGAGTTCTGGCACCTGAAGTCCACTGCCTTACCCCAAACGGCTCTCCAAACTATACAACAGAAAATATATGTCTGGGGCTGGGGATGCAGTTCAGTGGTAGAGTGTTTGCTTCACGTGTGAGGCCCTGGGCACAATCTCCAGAACTACATATAATTAATATAAGGGTTGACAGAGTAATAAAAATGGTATTAAGGACAGGCATGGTGGCACACGTGTAATCCCAAGACTCAGGAGGCTGAGGTAAGAGGATTCCAAGTTCAAAACCAGCCTCAGCAACTTGGTGAGGCCCTAAGCAATTTAGCAAGAACTTATCTCAAAACAGAAAAATAAAGAAAGGGCTGGGGATACAGCTCAGTGGTAAATTGCTCCTGGATTCAGTACCCGGTACCAAAAGAAAAAAAAAATTTTTCTGAAAGGTTCTATTTTGAAATATAAACAATAGATATTTATTGTACCTGAAAAGTAATTTTTTTTTCTAAAAAATGCCATAAGAAATAGCGTAAGCAAATTCACGTGCCTTCCTGGGCTGTCTAATCTAAGCTGAGCAGCTAGAACACATTAATATGAGAAAATAACTACCATGCTAGGAAGTATATATTATAGATGCTAATTAAGCAGTGCAAACAGGAATTTCTCAAGAAGTTCAGGAGGATACACAGTAAAGGCTTCAAGAGAAACAACCTGAGTTGGGCTTGATGAATGATTCAATTTCAAGAGGCCAGAGATTGCAGAGTAAAAAGACACTGAGAACCAGCAAGCAGGCCAGGGTGGACAAATGGAACCTCAAGTCCCAGGGAATACATACAGCGCCTGGAAATCCACTGAATCAGCCCCCGATTCGTGTGTCTTTCCAATATCCTGGAGTAATTCTAATTCTTCCTAGAATGTTCCAGAGTTGTCATGTATTCTCCATTCTTACGGCCACAAAGCAATCAGGTCCTCATTCCCTCCCTCTGCAAAAAATCTCCACATTCTACTTACCAGGTACAATCACCACCTCCCTCCAATTCATGGTACACACCACATTCATTATATTGATTGATTGATTGATTTAGGTACCAGAAGCTGAACTTAGGGATGTTTACCACTGAGCCAAATGAAATCCTCAGTCCTTTTTATTTTTTATTTTGAGACAAGGTCTCACTGAGTTACTTAGGGCCTCACTAAGTTGCTGAGGCTGCTCTGAACTCCAATCCTCCGGCCTCAGCCTCCAGGGTTACTGGGATTACAGGCATAGCCACTGCACCTAGCTACATTCATTACTTTATATGCATAACCCACACACCACAAACCCTACAAACCAGCCAATGACTCACCATTGCAGCCAATGCCTGCAAAATAAAATTATTCTCCCTCACATCTGCTCTCTAGCCACCTTTCACTCTATCATTGAATTCTCACTCCCTGAACACATTATACAAGTTTCACACTTTTGCTGTTCCTTTCACCTGGAAGCGTCCTTATTTTGTTCCCAGGTAGAGCACAACTGGCACATGGGTTATACAGGCTGCATAAGCTAGTTTTTATATAAATGACACCCCACCAGTGTGGGACAGTGCAAAATCTCTGCAGCCTTCCAATGAAGGCTTGTTCCCTGTCCTCCCTGACTTTGAATGCCTTCTCAGAACAATCTCAAGAAATCTATGGTCTCTAAGTCCTACACATCCAACTTTTCTTTACAACACAAAGTTACGATATTTGAATCAGTGCCTTAATACAGCTTATACTGAAAAGATATTTGCAACTAATGATGGGATAAATCAAGGTTGTGATAAAATTGTCAAGAGCCTTGGGTTGTGTCAATGGTAGAGCACTGCCTAGCATGTGTGAGGCACTGGGTTCGATCCTAAGCACCACGTAAAAATAAATAAAGGTACTGTGTCTATCTACAACTAATTTTTTTTTAATTGTAGAGTCTGGAGGCCAAGAAAGGAACTTTATTTGATAAATCTCAGCTATGATCGAATGACCAGAATGATGTTTTAGAAAGACTAATTTCAGCCCAACATGGTGGTACACACCTGTAATCCCAGCGGCTCTGGAGACTGAGACAGGAGGATCTTGAGTTCAAAGCCAGCCTCAGCAACAAGGTGCTAATCAACTCAGTGAGACCCAGTCTCTAAATAAAATACAAAATAGGGCTGGGGATGTGGCTCGGTGGTACCCCCCCCAAAAAAAAGGGGTTTGAAAGACTACTTGAAGGAGGCATGTGAGGGGCTTTCTCTGAAATGTGTCACATTCTCAGTCAGTCATCCTTTGGTTCATCTGTTTGGGATTGTAGATATTGGTTTGATATACCTACACTTCTAAAGGGAAGCTTAAAACTGGGCCATTAAGCCAAGAAAAACATGCATTTGCCTAAAATATCTGGTGTCTAGGAAACAGTTCTGACTTGAATAATTATATACATACATGAAATACATATATACAAATTAAGCATTACTCTTCTTCCTTCACTTCTTTTGCATCCTCCCTCTTTTCTATCTCTGCCTCTTCCCCTTTTTGGTTTCTTCTGATGCTCTCCCTGAAATTACCATTCATCCCTCTCACTTCTTTCCAAATGCTGTACATTAATAATCTGCAGCCTACCTTTCCCTAAACTCCCAAAACCCCTCGGCTCCCTCGAAAAAATTATTATTCGTGTATTTCAACTGTGTTTGCTTATATATTGGTGTAGTCTACTCCCTGCGTATCTGTGCTAATAACTCAAGTCTCCTGTTTCCTTTGCTAATACAGCTCAAGTCTTCACTGATCTTAGAATTCTAGTTACTAGTGAATCATTTCAAGGCTGGCCATTTATGGTTCATTTTCCTGCAACCCTCTTTGGGGGGGGGGAGTCTAAATCAAGGGCTCTTATGTATTTAGATATATAAACTACTTTTATTGTTCTGTTGGAGTACCAAGTAATTCTTATCTGCAAATTGAAAACAGTTAGAACATAATAAAATAAACAAAGTAAGTTTCCTAATTTATTTATTTTCAAAGCGTGTATCTTGGATTTCATGCCAAGATGACATATCAGTAATAGACTCCATAATACTAGACAATTTTATTTACTTAGATTTATGGAGAAATCTTTGCTTCCCCCAGGAAGAATATTATGTGAAAGTAATCCACTGCAAAATCAAGAAGCATAGCACCATTCCTAACATCCACGGGCCTATCAGGAAAAAAAGATCACAGGGTGCAAACTTGAATTTAAAAAGTGACTAGGAAAAAATAAAATAAAATACAAAAGTGAATGGAGGGAGAATCTTAAAAGGGTTACCAAACAAAGGTAAAACAGAATATACAACTTGATTTTTGTGCCCAAAATGGCTGTCTCCCTTGAAAGTCCAACTTTAGTATGCTTATTCCTCCCACTAAATATGCAAAATAAACTCACTTGTACTAAAAACAGAAAAGTGTTATCACCATTAAGAGGTAAGCCTCATCTTAGGAACCAGATTAAAATATTCTCCTTTCATCTAGTAAAGTGGAAAGAACAAAACAAACTACACAGATACTGTTTCTGGGTTTTAGGCAGTTTTGGTTTTTCTCTTCTCCAGAGGCAAGGGTTCTTTCCCTCCCCATTACTGAAGACCCTCTGAAAGTCACAGTGTGTTTCTTTGGTACCAGATAGACAGGAGCTTCACTAACTTCATCCCTGGTAGGGAAAGAAGGCAGAAAAGGGCACAGACATCCATTATTTAGAGTCTGTCGTTAAATTAGCCTCCTTTATCATATGGCAATTCCATTACAGCACACATTACGCCGGGGGCAGGGTGTATAGCATGTGTGGGCAGAGCCCAGCAGACCACATTTCGCCAGAACAAGATTTCATCTTTTCAAACACCACCAAAAATTGGCAAATAGTTGAAACTGCTATTAAATGCTTAGGGTTAAATGACTGCATAATAACAACAAAAGTTTAGAGAAAATTAATTAGCAGGTCTCTATCTACTCAGAAGTAAACTACAAAGATAAGAGGTTTGAGTATCTCCGTCTGCCCCTACCCAGGCCTGGGGATCTCGCCCTCAAGCTGAGTCTCTAGCAGAGGTATCAGATCTGGTCAGTGCCCAGAAAATAGGGGTGACGACGGGGCCCAACCCTTCCCTTAGTTGGCGCGCGTGGGGCCTCCCTGGGCCCTGAACCCTGCCTGGTTCATCAGGCAGACAGGACGGAGACGCGACGGACGGACGGGACGGACAGACGCTACAGGACGGACGTGCAGAGAAGCAGTGCGTCCTACCCGGAGGGCTCCCTCCCAGGGACGGCGGAGTACCTGCTCCGGTCATCCAGGCTGCGGTTGTCAGCGGCTGCTGCGCGCCAGTCGGGCAGCGTGCTGGCGCACAGCACCACCATGGACACAATCACGAACACCACGGACACGCTGGCCAGGATCTGAGCGGCCAGCGACGACGTGGGCTCCTCAAAAGTCCTCCGCATGCGCTCCAGCCAGCGCCTGGAGGGAGCCGCCTCGGCCCCGCCGGGTCGCACCTCGTCGCGGCCCAGCGCGCCCGGTTCTTCCGCAGAGTAGAAGGTGTAGGTGTCGGACATGCGGTCGTCGAGGCGGCGCTGGCAGCAGTACTCGAGGTGCGCGCCCTCCAGGCCCCAGTAGATCATCTCATTGTAGAAGGAGAGCTCGCACATCCGCGGCGCGAAGCGCAGCTTGCCGTGGCCGCGCACGTAGAGCAGGATGAAGCCGAAGGCCTCCGAGTGCCGGTCGAAAAAGTACTCGTTGCGCTCACGGTCGTAGTCGTCGCACACCTCGAGCACGTCGCGTTCCGAGCGACAGCCGTGCAGCCGACTCACACGGCGTAGCGGGAAGTCCTTGAGCAGCTCCCGAGACAGCGAGTACCGGGCGCCGCCCACGTTCAGTACCACCGAGGCCGCCCCGCTGCGCCCGAAGGTCATGGCTGGCTGCCCTGGGGACCCTCAGCTCAAGGGTCGCCCGGCCGCCGCGTGGGGCCTGCCTGCCTCGGGCAGACCGGGGAGAGCGCCGTCGGGGCCCGCTCTCCCTCGGGGCTCCTCTCTGCCCCGCACCGGCCCGGGGCCCCTCAGCTTTAACCTCCTCGGCAGCCCAGCGTCGCTGCTAGCAGCGCGCCTTCCGCGCGGCAGTACCTGCGGGTGGCCGGGGAGTCCCCTCCGGCGCCAGCGCTGAGCCCCACTGGCTAGGAATGAGTCTGTGTTGGCGCCGCCGCCCCTCGCGCCCGGGGATGCCCCCTGCGATGCCGGGGTGCCCTCTCCAAGGCGGCGGCGCCGTCCTCCCTGAGGGGCGCGGGCGCCGAGGGGAGGCGCCGTGCGGAAGACTCCAGGTCCCGGGAGGCGCTCCCGCCCGCCGCAGCTCGGGCAGCTGCCCCGCAGCCGTCCAGAGGCGAGAGGCAAAGTGAGCGGGTTCGGCGGCGGCGAGGAGCCGGCTCGGAGAGGCGGGGGCGGGGCCTCCCTCGCCGGCCTCCTCCTTGCCTGCCGGCTCCGCGCCGCTCACCTCCCTCCGCGCGCCGCCCTCCTCTGCCCGCCCGCGTCCGCCCGCACCTCCCGGGCGCGCTCGGGCTGGGATTCCCCGGTGCCCCGCCCTGGACCTCGGGCTCCCAGCCTCGTGACGCTGGCTCCTCGCTGCACTCCCGCCTGCCGCGGCCAGGAGGGGTCCGCAGGGCGGGGATGCCAGGAGCCGGGAGTCCCTGGTGTAGGGGAAGCCAAGCCCAGTGGCCAGGTTGCCTGCTGCCACATCCCACCCCTGGCCATCGGGATGACTTGGGCATCTCCCAAGGGCCTCATTTAACAGCCCCTGAAAGGAGGAGACAGGAGGGTAAGGAGGGGTGCAGAGGTGAGGTCTGGGGTGCAGGGTCTGAAGAGAAGGGACAGACGGCGTTTGGCCAGAGCTCTTTCCAGAAATTGTCCCAGCTTCTGAGACCGCCCCAAAATGATTCCTCAGAGAAGGCACACCAGCCGATGCTTTTCCTGCAGACTTTGCGCTTCCTCTCCCCGCGCAGGGCGACCCACGTGCCGTGTGCTCGAAGGCGGCCGCACATCCCAGCCCCCGCGCGATGCCGCCCGCGGAGTGGCCCCGGCCTCCGCTCTCCCCGGCACCTGTCCTGGGAAGGCACCAACATGTAGCGCGCCTGGACCCTCTCGTGAAGTCTCTCATAGAGTGGGGTGAAAGTCTGGGGAGGATTCCCTGGCAAAAACAGAATTTCTCGTTGCCTTCGTCGGCATCCTTTCCATAATGTCTCGATTTCCCCCGTGCACCCCGGATCCGGCTGCAGCACCGGAGCTTGAAGAGCCCCTTAAGGCTCCGCTGAGCGAACAACCCCAAGCTCTGCTGGATGCCCAGGGAATGGGTTTTACTTAGTAGGGATTATTTTGAACAGCTACCAGCAATTCACTCGACATCTGACACCGGCAGCCCAACCTGCGGAAGGCGAAACAGGTGAGTCGTAGGGCAAATTATGTTAGATGCAAAACATGCTGAAAGAAAAAATAAGGGTGGGGAAGGATGCGGTCACCTGACCATAGAGTAACCCTGCTGGTTACAGGGAAGGGTTTTACTTTGCCCTCCACTTTTCAAAATTTTGTAGGATTGTCCCTTGCCCGCTAGAGGTCACCATAAAGAATCATTTTGCTCTGGTTCTCGTGTAGATTCCTAGTGAAAAGGCAAACGCCTAAAATTTGGAGTGCTGTGTGGTTCTTAAAGAATGGAAATCTCTGTAAGTTATTTATCCCTAGACCTGGATAATTTATCTTAAAAGCACTTAACGTGATTAAAAGCTCGAAAACAAGAGGTTTTTTTTTTTTTTCATCTGCTAAATAGCTTCTAGACAAGGTAAACATACTCAAAGAAGTGAATCTCAAGTCCGAATAGAAGGAGGTGATGGCCCTGAACTGGCAGAAAGAAACACCAAAGGATTCCAAGTAGCAGAATCTCAGTAGGTGGAGGAGTAAAGTCTAAAGAAAGCGAATGAATTTGCCTGGCTGAAACAATGAGGAGCTCAACTGCAGTATTAAGACTTCATCCTGTAAGCAAGGGATCCCCTCAATTTTAATAACAGAAATAGCTTGATGAAAGCTTTATTTCGGGAAGAGGCCTTTGCCCTGTGGGTGAGTCTGAAGAGAAGGCCATTTCAGCAACCCAGGGATGGAAAAATGGAAAGGTCAGTCATAAGAAATGCAGACCAAGGATTTAGCAGAGTTTGTTAATGGGTTTGTTTTAGGACATGGGGATGGAGAAAAATTTGCAGGTGTCATCCAGAGATGAGGCTGGCTTCACACTAGCAATAGCCATTTCATCAGGAAGTTGTTAAAAATACTCTTTAGAAGCATCACAAGCAACAGAAGACAGAACTGTGCTGGTTATTTGCTCAAACATTACTGTATTAATTTCCTGTGTTTTCTATCCAAAAATCCCTTGACAGTCGGTGGATTGAAGTAGTTGAAGAAATGTCTCATTTTAAATTAAATTTGAGCTTAGGAAACAAATTAATTTGACGACAGTGCAATTTGTGTCTCCTAAGTATATTTTCATAAAATGTCTTACAGAAATGGGTTTAAATCATTTCACTTGTTTCAAAAGTATTATTCTTTTTTTAAATTTTTTTTTAGTTGTAGATGAACACAATACTTTTATTTTATTTTTATGTGGTGCTGAGGATTGAACCCAGTGCCTCACACATGCTAGGAAGTGCTCTACCACAGAGCCACAACCCAGTCCCAAAAGTAATATTCTTGTTGGATTTTAACATCTACCCCTGCAGCGGCAGCAATATCCTAATCATTTTCTTAAACAAATAATACAGAAAGATGCAGAGATGATTGATTTGTCTCAATATAATCTTGTTTAGAAAGCATTCTTGCCATGTGAGGTGGCAAATGCCTGTAATCCCAGTGACTGAGGAGACTGAAAAGAAGGATTGAAAGTTTGAGGTCAGAGGCTAAGGCAGGAAGATTGCAAATTCAAGGTCAACCTCAGCAGTTTAGCAAGGCCCTAAGCAATTTAGCAAGATCCTCTTTCAAAATATAAAATTTAAAAAGGGCTTAAGATGTGGCTGAGTGGTTAAGTGCCCCTTGATTCAATCCCTGGTACCAAAAAAGAACAGGTCTTCTAGTTCCACACTAGTCACTTTGTCTCCAGTGCATTGACTACAGTCAAAACCTACCGGCTGGGGTTGTAAACGGCTCAGTGGTAAAGCACTTACCTCACATGTGAGGCACTGGGTTCGATTCTCAGCACTGCATATAAATAAATGAATGAAGTAAAGGCCCATCAACAACTAAAAAAAATATTTTGGAAAAAACCTTTCTACCACCTCTCTTTGCACACCAGCTTTTTCCTACCTCTGTGATCCTATATAATGCCATCAGACAGTTCTTCCTTCTATTCATTTTCATCTAAGCATTCCCCAGTTCAAAACCTAAAAGGAGCCAGGTGTGATGGTGCATCTGTAATCCTAGTGACATGGTAGGCTAAGGCAAGAGAATCTCACGTTTGAGACCAGACTTAGCAGCTTAGCAATACCCTGCCAAGAAGTTAAAAAATGAAAAGTTCTGGGGATGTAGCTCAGTAGTAGAGCCCTCCGAGGTTCAATCCCCAGTACCTGGAGACAAGGGAGGGAATTAACAAGTAAAATAAAAAGACTATATTGATCTATGAAATTATGAAATATCCATACATTAAAGTCCAAATTTGCTATTAGGACTCTCCCTAGATTCAAACCTGATTGTACAACTTATTTGCTAAGTGACCTTTGAGTAAGCTCCTTAACCTCTTTGAGCCTCAGTTCTCTCATTCATAAAGATAAGTGGCCAGGCATGGTGGCACATGCCTGTAATCCCAGCAGTTCAGAAGGCTGAGACAGGAAAATCACGAGTTCAAAGCCAGCCTCAGCAACTGCGAGGCACTAAGCAACTCAGTGAGACCCTGTCTCTAAAAAAATACAAAATAGGGCTGGGGATGTGGCTGAATTCAATCCCTGGTACCAGAGAGAGAGAGAGATAAAGATATCTTTAGCAAGGGTATGAAGCATGAAATGATGATGTGAGGTCTGTAGCTATAATCCTGCATAAGTACAGGTATATAGTTCAGGGCATAACACTGGGAGAATCTCACTTTATGTATGTTTTAGCCAAACAAGCCATGCTCACTTATTTCCTGGGTTCTAAACAAGTACAAATTGGATGAGTGAATTGATTCATCTAAAAATGTGACCAGCCACAAATAAGTAATCTGAAACATGAAAAACTCATTAAAGTTGTAGCTCTTACACTGCTAACTCTGGGTGGAACATGAATTCCCCCATCACTTTGCACAGCAGACTAAATACCCTGGCAGTCCCAAAGCTTTAGAAATTGAAATTCCTTGTGGGCACTACAATTCCATGCATCTTACTTATCATCTCTGTCTGCTTTAAAAAGCCCTTGCTCTGTTGTTAATTCATATTTCCAAGTACGTGTGTTTACATCAGTTTATTTCTTGGTCTCTACAGAATCAGTACATACATTTTTTTTAAAAAGCAGTTCTTTGAATGGAAATATAACCTTAATATTTCTCCAATTATATATAAAAGAAAGACTCTAATGGCCTAGCCCATAATGCATAGTTACCCTGTATAAGGTAAAACTACCATTTTCAAGGACAAAGCTTAGATAGTACTTTCCTGAAAGAATTCTAATTTGGGCTGGGGTTGTAGCTCAGTGGTTAAGTGCTTGCCTCCCATGCTTGAGGCACTGGATTTGATCCTCAGCACCACATAAAAATAAATAAATAAATAAAACAAAGATATTGTGCCCATCTACAACTAAAAAAATATTTAAAAAAAAACAACAGAGAATTCTAATTTGAGTTGGGCATGGTTACACCATCCTGTAGTCTCAGCTATTCAAGACCAGTTAGGGTAACATAGCAAGACTCCACTCAAAATAAAAAATTCTGGGGCTGGGGATGTGGCTCAGGCGGTAGAGCGCTCGCCTGGCATGTGTGCGGCCCGGGTTCGATCCTCAGTACCACATACAAACAAAGATGTCCACCGAAAAAACTAAAAAATAAATATTAAAAAAAAAATTATCTCTCTCTCTTTAAAAAAAAATTTAGAAAAATAAAAAATTCTAATTTGAAGAGGTATTAACACAAAGTTTTAGTTATGCAAGATGAAATAAGTCCTAGAGATCTACTATACAACATAGTGCCTACACTTTAATGTATATTTAAAAAATGTGGTCGGGTGTGGTGGCACACACCTGTGATCAAGTGTTACAGGCCAGCCTGGGCAACACAGTGAGACCCCATCTCGAATAACACAAACATAACAAAAGAACAAGAGTTTATTCACTACATCTCAGGAGAAAATCAAGGGATACTTAGGACTTTGGGCTTCTATAGCATATTAACAACAATAAATTTGTAAAGAAGTAACAAAGGAAGAGGGGCTAGACTTTTAGGGGTGACAGACTATAGAGAAGTAAATATATGGAGGAAACTAATAGAAGATAAGAATTTTATTTTTTTAA